GTGAACACGTTTCGAATAACTGCAAATTTTTATTTTCTTTGTTATTTGATGTAATTGGAACTTGAATGGATGCGTCTAGGTTAGCTTGAGGGTCCTGTGGAGTGTAATTAACATGGGCATCCATGGATTGGGTCGAAATTGGAAGAAAATCGTGTGTGAAGGCTTTTTTGGCCGACTAGTTTTGGTGCATGTTCATCTGATTTTGGTTCAAATTTTCGGTCAATTTTGCTGGAGTTGGGGCTGGTGGTTGGGTGGGTTGTGAAGAGGGCAATGAGGACTTCAAGGTGGTATGTTTGTCCGGCGGTCAAGGTGATCGGAGGTTGGGGAATTTGCCTTCAAAGGTAGTGGCTCGAGAGTGATTTTTTTTTTCATGTTTGTGATTGATTTGCACATTTTTAAAAGTTTGAATCAATAATTGCAATTTATTATGTATTTTTATTTTTTTTTGTTTTTGTTCTATTTTAATAGAAGGGTAAAATAATCAAAAATAGATAAAAATGATGTTTTGTGTAAGAAATGGTAAAGGTAGGGACGTTCTGTGCCAAAAAATGAAACGTATGAATGTTTTCCACAAAAATCGTCAAACGTAGGGACGTTTTGAGCCAATTACCCTTTTAAAAACTTCAAACTTAACGTCTGATTTTACGTAATTTTCACTATGTAAAAATACCAAGAACAAATGAAAATTGGGCCAGTTTAACCCAACCCAACTGAGCCCGGCCCAAAAATTGATTTCTCAAACTGGCCCATCTCTCACCAAACCCTAATATATTCCCCTCATTCAACTCAGCCGTGACTTTGACACAAAAAACAGAGAGCACCCAAAACTCCCTAGCTTGCCGAAGATGCAGATCTTCGTGAAAACCCTAACGGGGAAGACCATAACCTTGGAGGTTGAATCCTCTGATACCATCGACAATGTGAAGGCCAAGATCCAGGACAAGGAAGGAATCCCTCCGGACCAGCAGCGTCTCATATTTGCTGGAAAGCAGCTCGAGGACGGCCGCACCCTCGCCGACTACAACATCCAGAAGGAGTCCACTCTCCACCTTGTTCTCCGCCTCCGTGGTGGTGCCAAGAAGCGTAAGAAGAAGACCTACACCAAGCCGAAGAAGATCAAGCATAAGCACAAGAAGGTGAAGCTCGCCGTTCTTCAGTTCTACAAGGTTGATGATTCAGGAAAGGTCCAGAGGCTTCGTAAGGAATGCCCAAACGCGGAGTGTGGTGCTGGAACTTTCATGGCTAACCATTTTGATAGGCACTACTGTGGTAAGTGTGGCCTCACCTATGTTTACAACAAGGCCGGCGGCGATTGAGATATGAACAATTTTTATCATTAATTATGAGCTTCTGTTGTTGAGAGTCGGAACCTTTAAGTTTCGCAGTTACTCTTGTTACTCTGGTTTTTGTTTGGAATCTCTATTATGCATTCTATAATAGTGTTGCTTTAATTTAGAAGTGGCCTCATAGCATTAATTAAGGCCAATCAGAAAATAAAATCCTCGTTTGTCATGATTATTATAAACTGATAGCAGTTTTTTTCTATGGCCTATAATATGCATTTGAAAATTGAGCAGAATTTGATCGTTTAGTTTGAGATTTTTCATACCTAGGAGCGACCTCTGTTACTGTCCAGCATCAATCAATTTGGTTTTGACTGTGTATCAAATCATTTCAAAGTGGTTAGGTTTTTCATCTAAAGAAAAGTACTAACCCTAACCCATACTGCAACTCCCTCTCTTCATTACAACCAAATATGTGCATCGTTGTTGTTCTTCATTGCACTTTTCAGATTTTTCTCTATGGATGATCTCCTTGATTTCTCAGCTTAAACCGCAAAGTGATGTTGGCGTTTCTTTTCTGATCTGATCTGGACAAGAAGTAATGACCTGATTTTAAGAACATTTTCTCCATTGAAAATTAGGGTGGTGCTACAAGTACAGGAGCACTTTCACAGACTTTGTACAGGATTTCAAATTGTGATGATGTGGCAGATAAAAAGAAAAAAGAAAAAGACAAAAGGAACAAAACGCGTCAAATTGAGGCCTTGTATGGGAGGAAAGAACAATTCTACCTGTATATAAGAAGTTATATAATGATTTGCAAGTGAGACATCGAAAGAGAGTGAAGAATATTTTTTATTTAGTTGAAAAAATTCTGACCTAATTATATATCACCACATTATGTGTATGTAATTTTTATGCAAACAATGATGCACAACAACTAAATTTTTGATAGTTTTATCAAACAAGTGCTCTAGAGGTTAGCCAAACGTCCTCTATTGCTGTCTATACAAAGCCACCGCATAGTACAAAATATCAAATGCAAT